TCACAGTAACAACCAACCATGCAGGCTGCATACAAGGCTTATATGCCTTCAATCAACTATAGAACAATCCTCTATCAGGCATACATCACACCTCAACCACACTCTATTTATGCAGCACATATGGCCTACTCAGAACCCAGATGGAAATTATTTCATAACTAGCTCAGTCATACAGAAGACCCCTTTCATCACCATTATTTTTAAACAGTAACCACCATCATATGTTTGCAAATGGATCCACTTCACAGTTATTTATATATTGCATTTACTCCTTCACACATTATTTTGTGGCACGTAGAAATCTCAATTAATTTACTGACCTTATTGGGCTTAGCAGAGAGAAACCTATACATGCAATGGAAGCAGGAATAAGAGTATGCTGCCTACTGATCGGAGGACTCCAATAGGGCAGTGGTTTAATTCTGGTGTTCTAATATGCCAATACTGTGTACGCTATTTCTTTAACCCATTAAGGACACATGACATGTGTGACATGTCATGATTCCCTTTTATTCCAGAAGTTTGGTCCTTAAGGGGTTAAAAGAACATTCCGGTCACCATAAAAACCTCATCTAAATGAAGTTGTTATGGTGCCAGGAGTCCACCGGGCGCTTTCTTACCTTAAAAGGTTAAACCATTTTCAAACAGTTTAAACACCAACGTTTGTCTCTAGCACTTGTCTTAAGGCCCTCCATGCCAATCAGTAGCACCCCATTCATGAAAAGTTACCTCCTATTATTTTGAATGAGGTCTGATCCATTTCCATTGCTCACAAGCATTTCTTTCCAGCAAATTCTGTAGCGCTGTACAATGGGTGCTGTTGCTCTTCTTTCCATACTCTTAGTTCTCTTCATTCTTTTCTAATACCATTCTTGTTTCTCAACATTTTTTCCACATTGGCAATGACAAACAAAGTGTACATTTTAGACTTTATAAAAACACTTTGTGTCAAAATGTTGCCAATTTATGTTCGATGTCCGAATAAACCACCATGTGTGCTGAGGTATTTGTTATTCTATTGATACATTGGTCCATTGAACAATGATCATACCTGTGTCACATGCACCGAAAATGTGTTGATTTGATTGAGTGCCCTATACTGATTACTCTTATTTGTTATGTATAGAAGTGTGACATTAATGGGTGTTCAGACTTAAATGGGACTTTCGTCACTCTCTGTTGTTTGTATCCAGTTACCTGTTTTATTGTTATCTTGTAATATAGCACTATTGTACTGTGTAGCATATGTACTAGCCATTGTTTACACCTTTTAGAAGAATTAAAATGACAGTAGTCACAAATAAACATTATTTATGGTCATTAGAATCTAATTAGTGCATTCCAAACCCCTTTTAAAGTCCATAGCTTACTTCTTTCATTTGTTTTCTTTCTTTATATATTATCTCTCCCTGATACCTAGCCAAGAGAAATAATGGTTAAAAGCATCCAGAGGCTTTAATTTTTGTAGGTGCTAGAGACAGGTCATTCCAGTATCACATATGAGCTTGCCAAATTCTCAGTTACTGGGAAAATCCCTAAACGAAAAGAACATATGATTAATTGTACATAAATTTAAAAATGATCATAATGCATCTTATTGTTACTGCCAAAGTCAGCTAAAGTTGGAATTTATATAGACCACTGCTTGGACTGGTCGGACAGGAAGCAGCATATAATTAGAGGAGCCCGAGCACACTGCTGTCTTTCAATCCCTAGATAATGAAGCGTCAGACCAGCCCCTAATCTGCTAATATACAACTGCTTTCTCATGGTCAGGAGGTATTCTTCTCTCAAAGTCCAAAGGGCTAGATTCTGTAAGATTCGTTAACTCTGGAAGTGTTTTCAAAAACTTTATCACATGGGGAAAAGAGGAAGTTTGGATCTCTGCTGGAGTGGTAGTACAGAGAGCCTCAGGGGCATTGGGTATTTTCAGTGGCGTACACATGACCCATGGGGCCCCGGTGCAAAAATTTTCACTGAGGGTTAATCCAGCCTCTGGTGGCTGTCTCATTGACAGCTGCTAGAGGAGCTTCCGCGATTCTCACTGTGAAAATCACAGTGAGAAGACACTGAATGTCCATAGGAAAGCATTGAGTAATGCTTTCCTATGGGCGGTTTAAATGCGCGCGCGCCTCTTGCCGCGCATGTGCATTTCGGAGCTGAGTGGCGGACACTGGGGAGTCCGACGCTGGAGAAAGGTAAATGCTGAAGACACACACACACACTCTCACGAACAGACGCATACACACTAGCTAACAGACACACACATTTACTGACAGAGACACACTCAGCGACAGACATACATACACACTCACTTACAAAACATACACTTTCACTGACAAACACACACTCACTAACAGACATCAAACACACTCAGTAACACACACACAGTAACACACTCACTAGCAGACACACACTAACACAAACAAACACTGACACACTAACTGACACACTAACACACACACACACTAACACACACATACACTAACACACACATACACTAACACACTAACACTAACACACACACACACACACACTAACACACTAACACACACACTAACACACACACACACACACACACACACACACACACACACACACACACACACACACATTTTTTTTTTCAAATTTAATCCCCCCAGCCTCCTTACCTTTTGGAGTGCTGGGGGGATTCCCTGGGGTCCAGTGGTGCTGCTGGGCTCCTGGTCACCGGGTGGGTGGGCGGGCTGCCTGGCCGGCGCGCGAGGGAGCACTTTCCCCTGTGTGCTCCCTCTTCAGCTCCCTCGCGCGCCGCGTAGGGATGCCGGCGCCGGAAGATGACGTCATCTTCCGGCTCCGGCATCAGTGCGGTGCGCGAGGGAGCTGAAGAGGAAGCACTGAGTGCTCCCTCGCGCGCCCGCCTGCCCGACCGGCCGGCCACCCGGGTCAGCAGGGCCAGCCTCGGGGGGCCCTGGGATGGTCGGCTCCTGGGCCCCCCAGGGGAAGAGGCTGGCCCTGTGGCTACATACCGGGTCGCAGGGGCGGCCGGGCCCCCTGGTGGGCCGGGCCCGGTCGCAGCCGCGACCCCTGCGACCCTGGTATGTACGCCACTGGGTATTTTAAAAAGATACTAAGCGAGCAATCAGTCAGTCCTGCTCATCAAACCATTATAAAGATACTGAATTTTCCAGGGACCAATCAGTAAGTCCTGCTCATTCAACCATATCCTGAGGGCTAAAAAAAATGAGAAGTGTTGTGACAGTAAGGCTGCTCTGCAGTAAGATATTATGTAAAGGGTGTTCAGTCTTCCATCACTATACGTGTGGTTAAGTGTTTGTTTAGAAATTTATCAAAAGGGGGCAAGGCTTGACCACCAAGCTTAGAGGACGCAGCAAGCCTGAGCTCCTGACTAAACTTCTCAATTAATCGTCATTGGGGGAATACCTACCCTACTCATCGCTACCCTGTACCAGATCCTGCAGTCTGGCACCTCCAGTTTCTATGGGTGACCGTGTACCCCTACTGCATCCTCCAGCTGACTGTGGGCTGGTGCATCTCTCTGGCGAGGGAAGCAGCCAAGCTCACCGACCGGGACTACACGGGCCTCTCTAACGCCTTCGAGCTCCCTACACCCCCCCTACTGGGCCGGCAGGGGTTATCCCAATCCTTACCAAGTGTTACGCTACTTGGGTGATTTGGATTGGAACTCAACTGCAGCTTGTACAACTCCCTAATTACAATAGTGAAGAAACTAAGAATCTTTAAAGTATCAATACTGTAGCTTTAAGAAAAGAGAGAATCACTGGTAACTTGATTCAACCGAAGTTTTAATCAGTGTTAAACTTAAATGAATTGCATTTAGGCAATAATCCAATAAGAAGAAGTACAAGTAATCATCAACACAAAGTTCATTATTAAGTATTTCTTCAGAGATGCATTAAGTAACATTCTTTAAGTTCATGAGAATAATCTTCAATAGAAACAATAAGCAAGTAGCTAAGAATATTTGCAGAGCAAGAACAGTTCATAGTGAATAAGCATGATGGGAGTTGTCCTCCATATAATTAGTAGCTTGAAGCAATGAGTGTATTTGCAAAGCAAGAAACAGTTCATAGTGAATAAGCATGATGGGAGTTGTCCTCCATATCATTAGTAGCTTGAAGCAGTGAAGTTTTAAGCAAGCAGTAAATAGTTCATCAATAAATGAGATAGCAGAAAATAGCTGAAGGGTATACTCAGGGGCGTACCTAGAGCATTTGGCACCTGGGGCGGATCCTGTGCTTGGCACCTCCCCCCCCCCACCCACCCAAAAAAAACACAAAAAAAACCTGTAAAAAATGTAAAAGGTTTTCTTTCTTTTTTTTTTACAATTTGTAAACTTTGCAAAACCGCTGTCAGCCCCTCCTACAAAACCCTTATCCTGCCCCGCCCCTCCTACAAAACCTCTGTCCTGCCCCTTCTACAAATCCTGTACTGCCCCGTCTACAAAACCCCTGCAACCCCCTTCCACAAATCCCCTGCTTATCCCTTATAAAGATTCCTGTCCCAATACAAAACCCCCGCCCCCTTCTACAAAATCCACACACACACATTTACAGGAAGACAGTCACACACTCAGTTACAGACAGTCACACACTCAGTTACAGGCAGACAGTCACACACAGTCACAGGCAGACAGTCACACATACACATTTCCTCCGTGCACCCTAACTACCATGGGACACTGTGCGGCCACAGCTCACACAGCCCCCTCCAGCCAGGGCCAGTGCAAGGATTTTTGCCGCCCTAGGCAAAAGTAAAGTTTGCCACCCCCCCATGTGACATCACAATGCCCCACCCATATGATTTTCCATGTTAACTAACGCCAGTGCTGCAGTGCCGCCGTGTTTACATTAAAAGGCCTGCAGGGACAGGCTATAGACACCAGAACCACTACATTAAGCTGAAGTGGTTCTGGGGACTATAGTGTTTCTTTAATGTGAGGTAAATAAGAGCTTAGTGCCACGAATAATATACTAGATTGCCTACTTACAACCAGATGAGGATGATGATGGGCTCTAGCTGCAGTCTGGCTCCACTGGTCTGGTGCAGAACAGGCTCTCTGGAGGCGGTTTGTAACTGTGGTCACAAAAATCAATGTTCTGGGAGAACGGGAAGCAGCTCCATTTTTTGGGGGTCCTTTACACAGCTCAAGGTCTTGGTCCCAGGGTCCTTCATGTTCCACCAATGAGTTTGTTCACAGGGGGTGGAGTGTGTAGGGGATGTCCTGATATGTGTGTAAGGAATGCATTGTGTGTAATTGTGTTTGTATGTGTAAGGGCTGCAAGGTGTGTTTCTGTGTATGTATGGGATGCATTGAATGTGTGTAATGGGTGCATTGAGTGTGTGTAATGAATGCATTGTGTGTTTCTGTGTGTGTAAGGGATGCATTCTGTGTAACGGTTGCATTGCTTGTGTATGTGTGTCTGTGTGTGTAATGCATTGTGTGTTTTTCTGTGTGCAAGGGGTGCATTGTGTGTATGTGATGAATGTCAATCTCTCCTCCTCCCAATTTCTCTTTCTCCCCCCCTCCTAATTTCTCTCAATTTCTCTTTCCCCTCCTAATTTCCCCCCCCTCCTAATTTCTCTTTCTCCCCCCCTCCTAATTTCTCTTTCTCCCCCCTCCTAATTTCTCTTTCTCCCCCCCATCTAATTTCTCTTTCTCACCCCCATCTAATTTCTCTTTCTCACCCCCCCATCTAATTTCTCTTTCTCACCCCCCCATCTAATTTCTCTTTCTCACCCCCC